GGACAACTTCTAAGAGTGCCAGACCTCTAACGTTATGATATAACAAAAATCTTTACCGGATAATACAATCAGCCAAGTATTCCTGATATGTGCATGAACAATTTCTTACCTAAAAAGTAATTATGAACTAAGTCTTTCTGGCTAAATCATTCAAAAAGTCCATTAGTCTATTTGGTAGGCTATCTAGAGCAGCTGTTTCCCAGTTAAACTCTCACTTGTCACAAGAAATTTCAACTTTAAACTGAGGGATGCTGAGAACTAGTTATCTTTCACTAGGATGTTGTTTCATGACAGAACTGTTACGGAAGTTCAAGAATCAGTGAATATAAAGACAGCCTTTTCAGATTTCTTCTCAGTCATGTTTGTCAGCTTTGAGGTTACCTTTGATGAGATTATCAAGATCTCTGTTTGTTCAGGAATGAAACAAAACCACCTCAATGCAAGGAGAGTTTACTGCCGTTTAGCTAGAATTCTATACCAGTTATTAATAAATCTACCTATTAAATGCTTATGCAAATTCTCCTTATATTATAACAAATTTCACACTTTTCAGAGTTTTCCTCCAGAAGCTGGAGTCTTGTGATTATCCAAAAATATCCTTTTCTTTATGAAGTGGATGGCAAATTACTTCCTCAGCACTTAGAGGTAGCAACACTAAAATGATAATAAGTCTAATAAGACCTCAGGTAGGTAGTTTGTTAACTTGCATTTTTGCAATTTTTATTAAGAAAAAACCTCCAGCTGTGCATGTGTCTAGCTTGAATGAAACATACATTATTATTCTTGCCTCCTGCATCCTCCATTCCTTTATGTTCTTTGAGATATTTAAAATATGCATCTCAAGTCTTCTATAAAGCCTACTGAGGCTTTGTAATTGCAGCTACCTCAATTATGATCTTTATGTGCTATGCAACCCTCACATATATATCGACCTCAGTGTTGCATATTCACCCCAAACATAGAAAGCAGGAGATTTGGGACTCCTGTTTCTCTGGCTGCAGTCATGGGATTATATGCAGTTTACTCAGGGGGTTATCAGTAACCTTTCTGATTACTTCTGCTGACTTTCACGGCATGGAGCAACAGAAAGGCTATGACAGTAGCAAAGCTGTGCCCTGCAGACCAGCATGCTCCTATGCCTGATTTTCAAAGGAATATAAACACTTGGAGAACCAAATTCCAATATGCTTTTAAAAAGACTTAGCTCAGTAAAACAGAAACATTCAAAACTTTTACTCATGGTATAGATATAAAATATTGTATTCATTTTTTTACAATTTTCGGTTTCACATTTTTCAATAATTCCTGGGGTTTCTTCTTTCAGAATCAGATAAATTAATTGAAGACAACTTCCTATAAAAATAATCAAATACAATGCAGATAAAATATGCTCCCACCACAAGGCCCAAACACTAGAACTTTTTGTGTTAATCTTTGTAAGAAATGTTAAAATATCTTAGTGTTTTTGTATCAAATGCTACATAATTGAATTAATAATGCTATAGAAATTGATTATAGAACACTGGGAAGTTATACCACTTATATACTTGTTGTAGGTAACATTTTTGCGTCAACAGGGAAGGAAGCAACTCCCTCAAGGTGAGCACGAAAGACTCTGGCTTTAAAACACAAACTTTTTAAGCATTCACATGTACTATAACACTCTTCCCAGGTAACTTCAGATTTGCTTTGCCTTAAATTGCTCTGTTCACTTTGCACAGAGTTTTCAAACAAAAAAAAAAACAGGAGTTATCTAAAATAGTTCAACCTTGGCCTATTTGGAAATCATGAAAAAAAAATATTTACAAACTTCCAAAAATTTAAGAATCATTCCTTCAGAAATGTGTTTACTGGCCCATATTAATCCTTAGTGCAACTTGAGGCATAGATGAGTTAGTTCCCTTCTGTAGGCTTTAAATCGTCATGATTTTGCAGCCAACAGCATTTTTTACTTTCTCATACATTATTTTCAGTACTTTGCATACCCCAATGCACTGACGGGCTTGCAAGGAAGATTTTACTTGCTGTTCAAAGGGACTGTAGCAAAAGTAGTAAAAGCCTAGGCTGCATGTGCACTCCTTGTCAACTCGCAGCCCGATTTATAGAATGCCAACACTGAAGAATCCTAATAAGTGAACAAAACCAGTTGCAGCTGCAAATTACCACGCAAAAATACATGCTGACTGACCTGTTCAGCTACACTTTATGATTTCTATGGAACAAAACTTTTGTAAAACATAATCCTTAGAAGATATTAATTTATTGCACTGGTAACACTTTTCAAACTTTCAAGCTCATGAAACATCTGCTTAACATGACTGCAACGAGTAATCAGGGTTGACATCTTGCAAGTTCTTTGCCTTGAGGTGGCTGGCTAGTGCAAAGGAGAGGTCATAGGATATGCAACTTGAAGCCACTGGTTCAAGCATAGTTCAGGTTATTAGCAATCAAAGTTCATAAAAGGATAAAATGTAAAGTAGGGCAAGCTGCACGACATAGTGTGTAAGTCAGAATTTATCTGATTATGTTCAGGGCATACTTTTGCTAATTTTTTTAATCTCTCAATGTTAATAAAGCTACATTTACTTTAGCAATAGCACACAGTGGTCACCAGTGTTGATATCACCACATAACCCAGTCTCACACTAAAAATTAGAGTGGATGTGCAAATCAGAGCCTAAATAGAATTTCAGTTTAGATTTCGTTTCAGAGTTGTTAGCTAAAAACTAGCAATACAATTTATAACTTTTCTAATATTTCTAAAAAAGATGTCAAGTATTAAAGTGGGAAAGAGACCAACCTATATATTCATACATTAAAAAAGCTCCTTGAATAATAGTGAAAGGTTGTTGTGGAGAATTCTTTCCAGTTGCAGGTATAAATGTCATTTGAAAAAATAAGCTATTTCAGTGTCCAAGGTCGGCTGAATTGAATTCATACTTCTTCAATTTGTCAACAATTTTTTAAAATACAGATGATGATGGAAAACAGCAGCATAAAACTTCTACACAAAGAAGTTTAGACAAACTTAGGGAAATATATTTCAAACATGGTAGGTGGCTTGAAATAGATGCTGACATTTTTCATAGGTCAGTCCAAAGGATGCCACCTCCAAGCACAGTGTTTTTGGAGGCAGGCATTATATCACTGTGAACATTCTGCCTAGGGTGAGTATTTTTCCAAATGAATGAGAATGAGGTAGGTCAGACAGCCTGCCAAGAGGAGAATACATAGTTAGCTCGTGAATTCAAGAAGATGAAATATTTTAATACAGCCACAGGACATGACTGGAATTTTTTAGGAGCACCTAGCTCAGAATAACAAAAGTGTATTTTTGTATTCTGTGTAAAAATACTTGGAACAGCAGTACAGAGGATTTTTTTATCACATTTTGTACAAAAGGATCAAGTAACAAAAAAATTGATGAATTTCTTATAAAATAAAAACATTAAGACTTAGATTAAGACCTAGGCGTGCTTGTTATCATCGCTGAAGTATGGAAGACAATTCTATTGATTCATTTACTTTTCCCTCTGTAAGTGGTCACCTGCAGAAAAAAGCCTATTCTGCCTTTAACAGCCCCTTGCAGAAAAATGCTTAAGATAGCACTGTGAATCTACAAGAAAGCCCCACTCTGAAGGTCAGAAAAACCTATGATGTGCAACTGGGCCACTGTGGGCCTCATGCTATAAAGTTGTTAACCATGGATTTTGCTGCTGCTGTCTGCTATTTTGCCTCTAGCTGCTTGTGTAAAATAGGATTAGAAATTTGACAACTAATGAAGACAGTCCAGCAGAATAAAAGGGTAGCAAAGAAGATAAGTAAAGTAGGTTTAAAAAAAGCTGTCAAGGCAGGCTGCATGCAAAATTTGTGGCTTAGTTTAACCAGACACTCCTGTTCTCCCATATCTTGGACCCCTATGCCTCTCAGACACAAACAAAAAGGGAAATTATTTAGGGCTTGTGTGACAAGCTGTCCAGAAATTAGCTAAATTTCAGAAGCTTAATATCTCTGACCCTGAATCAAGATCAGCAAATATTCCTTCATTTACAGAACAATTATCTTTTGTGTTATCTCATTTTATTAATGTTAGGTATCTAATGTCTTCCTTGATTTAATGTACAAAAGACCTGTGAACATGCTAAGTAAGTAATCTTTAAAGGTATAAAAATGAATGTATGATGTAATTACAAAGTATGACTTTTTTTTCCCTTTTATTCTCTGTATTAAAAACTTAGAGAAATTGAGTTGTCTACATTTTGCTTTGACTTTCAGTCTGCATTTGATTTCTAACTCAATTCACTTGAGATAAAGATCTAATACTTTTCAGTCCTTCTGCTCTGTGAGATACGTTTGTGAATCTCACTTATTCCAGTGGATAATAGTTCTGTACTTCTGGTTTAACTGGTGACAAGTCAGATCACCATCAAAAAGGAAAACACAAATGAATCCCATCCAGACATTCAAGCACAGCTAATAGTTTTGGGGTTTGTTTTTTGTTTTTTTTTTTTTTTAATCTTGAAAACATTCAGATAATGTTTCAAATGGCATAGAAACAGGAAACATGTGAACCATGCCTACAAAAGAGCTTTGGTGATGTCATTAATTGTTTGATGAAAGCAATGAAAACCTTTCTAATGTTTGTGTTTGCAAATTCTGAAAGCAATGAAGAAAACAATCAGCAAAAAT